CCGGCTATTCATCAGATAAAGGACTATCATCTAAAAAAAAAAAAACAGATCCCCCAAATTTAAAGACCCAGTGCAAAAATGGGCATCTGAAATATACAAAGAATTAGAAATGGCAAATAAATATATGAAAAGAGTATTCAACATTGCTGGTCATTTGAGAGATGCAAATGAAAACAATACTGAGATTCCACCTCACTCCAGAAAGAATGGCTACTGTCAGGAAGTCAACTAGTAGCAAATGCTGGCGGGGTTGTGTGGAAAAAGGAACCCTTCTCCACTGCTTGTGGGAGTGCAGACTGCTGCAACCATTGTGGAAATCAGTGTGGCGATTTCTCAGAAAACTGAAACTAGAAGTTCCATTTCACCCACCTGTACCTCTTCTTGGTTTCTTCCCAAAAGAATTAAAGCACCATACTACAGTGATATATACACACCCATGTATAGCAGCATAGTTGTAATAGCTAAATCTTGGTAAGAGTCCAAATGCCCATTAACTAGAGACTAGCTAAAGAAGATAAAGTTGGTTTTTTTAAGACAGGGTCTCAGTAGGTAGGTGAGACTGACCTGGAACTCACTATGTAGCCCAGGCTGGTCTCCAACTCACAGCGATCTTCCTGCCTCAGCCTCCCGAGTGCTGGGATTACAGGCTACAGATATGTTCTACCACTCCCGGCTGAAGATAAGGTTTTTTACACAGTGGAGAATTATTCTGCCATAAAGAAGGATGTGCTTCTTTTATAGATATTTATAGCTGAATGGATGCACCTTGAGACCATACTCGTGAGTGAAATCAATTGGAAACATGTTTAAATACCACATTGTTTCTCTGGCGAGAAACCAAAAGTGGAAATAAGGACTGGGATGTATAATGCATGTTGGGAAATGGGAAGAAAGTGATTATATGTGAAGAGGAACATGGCAGGAGGGAGGGAGAAAGGAAGGAACAAGAAACAGTAAAAGTAGAAGGGAAAAATGGAAACAAAGCTTTTTACTTTGTAAAAAGTGGAGGGGGCTTTAGTGGGGGAAGGGTAAAATAAAATAAAAAAAGAAAGAAAAAAGCCCTTCTGTTTGTTTTTTTTGCTGCTGTTTCAGTTCCTTCAGTTCCCAAGAATGCACAGTGTTCCTGATGCATGTGTTCATTGCTCTGTTTCTGAGGGTACTACTGTGACAGCTCATGTGAGAGCTTCTCACCTCTGTCCGATCTCCCCAGCCCGTCTGTGTTCTCCGGGCTGTCTTTGTGCCAGAGACTGCACATGAGTCTTATGAGACCCTGAAGAGCTCCTTGGAGGAGGCCTGCTGCAGGGCTGTGCATGGTGGGCTCTCAGCTGATGGGTGGGAGCCACTTTTCCCCTGCTGCACTGTTAGGTGTCAGTAGCTTTGGGTGCAGCCGTAATCCCTCAGGGAAAATTCCTCACCTTCTGCCTTGAGGCTGTGATGTGCTTGTCCTGGCGCCTGACATTGGAAGAGCCTGCCAGCAGCACTGGTTGGGAGGCATTTCCTGCTCTCCCTATGTGTAAAACTGTAGGATTATCTGTCTTTGTAGGAGAGAGGAAGGAGAGCTGCGGCCTACACTGTGTGGGTCTGGAGCTGCAACAAGGGCTCTGGGTGGTAGCGGTTTTGGCCCACTGCCTTCCACTTTTGCACACGTCGGCTGCCTCAGGAGTTGGGCCCCTCTCGGTGCTGTGGACTGAGTGTGCTTGGTTTTTCGGGAAGCCTTCATACCTTCCCCCATTTCCAGCACAGCTGTGCTTGACCTTCTGGTGGGTCGGGTCAGTTGGGGATCACTTCTTCCTTTCTGCTTTCCAAAGTTGCCTTGGCACTCTTGGTCTGCTGGCATCCCCCGCAGTTCTTTCTGTGCTCATAGGCGTATGCTTTTATAAACCGCTTTGCTTGATTCTTGTGGGGTTCCTGGGTAACAGAGCTTTAGACGGAGTGCAGTGTCTTCTAACCTGTAGTGCAGTTTTGCCCTTAGGATTACCTGCTGTATACTCAGACTCCTAGTTTTTTGTTTGACTTACCCCCACCGAGTATACAAGACAGATGATAAGTGCAGTCTTGCTGAATACTTGCAATGTGAATCCCACCAATCAGCTCACTTGTACCTGAGGTCCCAGGGGCTCCCCTGCAATTACTGTCTCATGCCTCCCCAGAGGTAGGAAGTCTTCTGTCTGCTAAGGACACAGCCTGTTTTCTCCACCTGTTTTTTGTTTTTGTTTTTTGATACAGGGGTTCCAACTTGCACTTTTGAGGCAGGCAGTGAAACCACTGAACTAAATACCTGGCTTTTTTGGTGGGGGGGTACCGGGGATTAAACTCAGGTCTTTGTGCTTGTAAGGCAGGCAGTGGCACCACTGAGCTCAATTCCCTGCCCTAGAGAGCCTGTCTTTAAGCTCTGCACGTGTAGAACCATCCAGCAGGTATTATTTTTGGTGTGGTTTCTTATGCACAACATTAATTGGTGAGAGTCTTCTGCCTTACTGTGTCTTGGTAGTTCAAACAGCTTGCCTAGCTGTGGAGCATTCCACTGAGTGATACACCTTGGTTTATTTCATTTTTACTGGACACTCAGGTCATTTGTAATTTCTGCCTTTTGTGTCCAGTGGCCTTTGGAGCACAAATACCCTACCTGTTTGGGCCCCTGGAGAGGGAGTGCTGGGGTTCGGGGTACATTTCTCATGTCTGGTCACCTCCTATGGGGTTGCATTAGTCGACCCACTGCTAGTGGTTTGTAGTGGATTCCAGGCCTCTGCGTCCTTAACAATACTTGAAATTGTCATTCCTTAGGGTTCTGGCCATTCTAAAGTGTGTTCTGACATCACATTATGGTTCAGTCTGTAAAGTACTCTTGACTAAGTTTCCCTTCTAAAGTACACTTTTTTTTTTTTTTTTTTTTTTTTTTTTTGG